AAAAATGAAATTTAAAAATGCAGCATCCTGGTGACTTTAAGAATCTTGGAACACAAATCTCAGCAGGGGCCCTCTAGCTCTAGAAAGCTAACCCAGGAGGGACACCGCTGCCACTGATTTTTCAGTAATTCTAGCAACGTGGTTTGCTTTTCCCACCAGTACTCATGCCATCTGCGAGCAAGTGACAAAGTATCCAGGTACGGAAGTTCGTGCACTGCCATAACCTGCTGGCTCATTCTCCACCTGATAACTACCATAAGGTCTGGGTATTTAGGAGGCCATGAAAATACAGCCCTGCTCTCTTTGCTTGCTTGTTTTCATTCTTTAGAGACAGGCTCTCCCTATATAGTGCAGGCCTTGAACTTGCCTACCTACCACAGGCTGGCCTCAAACTCGTGGGGATCCTTCTGCCTCAGGCTCCCCAGTGCTGGGACTGCAGGCAGGCACTGCCACACCCTGCTTTTCTTTCTTTTTTTCTTCTTTTTTGGTGGCACTAGGGATTGAACTCAGGGCCTTCACACAAAACTTTTTATTTTTTACTTTGAGATAGGGTCTCCCCAACTCATGCAGACTCAGCTGAAAGTTGAGTTCCTTCTGTATCAGCCTCCCTGAGCGCTAGAACAGGCACGCACCACAACACCTGTTGTGTTCTAAGGCTTTAGGATAAAGCAGACCTGTATTTTACACTGACTCTTATTATTTTAAGGGCAAGAAAATGAACTACCAATGCTGTAGTCTACCATCAGTCAAACTCTACAGCATGCTCTAACTCTTCAAAGGCACGAGAGACATGCAATCCATGCTGTCTGCTCTTCCAGAGCTCAGCAGCTAACTGGAGAGAAGACACCGGACCACAAGCAGCAAAACAGAAGTCATCATGCCCACCTTGGGACACCAGTACATGACACCGCTCCTATGCATGTACAGCACACTCCCTGGGTGCTGGGCATCATACTAGGTCCCTCACAAGACAGGACTTAACACTACAGTCCAGACACAGACCTATCAAAAGAATTAAGCAGGGGCTGGTGAGATGGCTCAGTGGTCTAAAGCACCTACTTAGAACAAGCTTAGCAAAGCACAAAAGCACAGGGACTGCAGTTCAATCCCCCAGCACCACATGCCAGCCAGCCCCGCCCCCTGGTGGGCTGAGCTGGCCACACACACACACACACACACACACACACACACAAATAAATATTAAAAAAAAAAAAAGAATTAAGCAACTGGGTGAACCTTAGGGGTTCCAAGGACCATTGTGAAAGGTGACACACTTGGGCCATCTTCTAAATGATGGCTAGGTGATACAAGAATGGGCATGACTAGAGAAAGGCAGGGATAGAGCACGAAGATGAGCATGGGCATGGGCATGGTGTGGGCGGGCACCGCAATCTACATCTAGGACAGAGGGTGGCTCTCACAGTGCACAGCGAGACCGTGGGCAGGTGGAGAGAGGACCTGCAGGGCGCAGCCAGGAGGGCTTCTGCTCTTTGCTCCTTTCCAGCTGACTCCAGGAGCTGGAGCAGGTCATGGTATCTCCGGGCCTCAGCACCTTCAAGAGGGAAATGAGATGCAGGAGTGTTTCCAGATCGAAAGCCCTACGTGTGTATGCTTACAGGTGGCTGCACAGACGCCAGCCCCATGCACTGACAAGTAACCCCCACAGAGCATCAACACTGTACTGCCTGCCTACTCCCTGAAGCTGAAGGGCCTCCGTGAGTAGTGCTTCTGGCCAACATTCCTGTTCAAAGTTCTGGCAATGATACCTCCACCAAGAGCAAACACAAAACCGGTTGTGGAAGGGGTGGGAAACTGTGAGTCCAAGTCATCAGAAGGAGGACATTCTCCATGTAGTGGGTAGGTAGGTGGCCTGGGAATCAAGGGAAAAGTCAGGCCCAGCTTAGGGCCTCCATGTGAAAACAGCCACCAGGCCAGGCACTAAAAAGGCTGGCACCTGCTCAGGAGGCTGAGTTATTTCTGGGCAGGGGCTACCAGTGGCCTCTTTGCCCAATCCTACTCCACACAAGATAGTTAGAGGCGTCTGCTGCTCTCTGCTAATCTGTCTCAGGGTCTTCATTAGCCAACAGGGCCCAAGTTGAGACCCAAGTGGCTACATGGGACAGGTAGCCTGGCTCGCTGTGCTGCCCTTCTTCCTCAGCCTCAAGCAGCAGCTTCAGAATTAATTCTAAACTTCCCTGGTGGCACCACAACAGTGACCAAAGTGTGGCTCTACTTCCTAGGTTTTTATTAAAATAAGTGACATGAGGCTAGAACATCACCACTATTCTTTAAATGCAAGAAAATCTCCGGGCTTATGTTTGCTCACCTGCAAAACCAGGGGACCTGAGTAGACGAGTCGAAGGCTGCTTCCAGGACCAAAATCATTAAGTCACTTAGTGTAACGGAGCTAGAGTCCATGCCTTGAGTTCCAGGAAACCCGTCAACTGGTCTCCTCTTAGGAACAACTCAAAGCCCTTCTCTACCTTTCCAAGAGCTGGCTGAGCCTCCCCACATTCACATCTTTTCAGGACATCAAGGCCAACAGGAGAGCCCTGAAAGACACCTCAGACGACAAGACAGTCTGACCTAGGGCACAGCCCTGACCAACTGTGGAAGAGGTTAGATGTGGGCTTCCTGATGCTGAGGTCCAGGAGCCCCCCACGGCAGCCAGCGGCCTCCCAGGCCTGCTTCGCCCTGGCTGCAGCACTGCCCTCCTTGCTCAGCCAAGGCTGGTTCCCTGAGCCATGACCTCGGCTCTCAGCCACGTGAGGGCACTAAGCCCTGGAAGGGGTCCCTATCCACCTGAAAGCCTAGCACCATGAAAAATGAGGGCCTTTTTGCCCTTGACTACCAAGCTCAACTATGTGCAGGATTAAAAGAAAAGACAATGTTTTGCGGACCTCAGGACCTGCAATGCCAGTGGAGGAAATTTCTGTCCTTCAGCTCTCCCACAGTTGCCAGCAGGACACAAGGTGGCAGAGCTCAACACTGACCTCCGTGTCTTGTGAGGAAGGGCCCAAGTCTCACACTGTCCTCATCGTCCCTTAGGGAAGATACCTGCTACATGTGTTCTTAAACACATGATCACAGTGCTGCTAAGGTCTGGGAGACACAGGGGTGGCGGGGGTACCAGGAGAAAACAGGCCCAGTGCCTGGGGTCTGGGAAGGCCGGCTCCATTGCCAGGGCCGCCACCCTGCTAAAACTGGCAATGCAAACAATATATATTTATATCCTCTGAAGTTTTGGCAACTAACAAGATGAAAACAGGCCAAAACTAAGTAAAATGGGAACCCAGAGAGATAAGCTCTTGCCCTTAAGTACAGGCCAGCTGATACCAGCAAAGTCGTACTTTTATTTTAATGGCCTCCAGGACAGACATTAAAGTGCAAGTGAGGCTGAATGAGCATGAACAGGTGCCTCTCCCACGAGGCAGGCTCCTCCAAGGCGGCACTCGTATCAGTGAGAGGGGAACCTGCCTTGCGCACACTGCAGGCCTGGCAGCCCCGGTGCTCTCAACCAGGAGCCCCCTCTAGGTGGCTCTGGACCACAAACAGCCCAGGGGCCCGCAGAAATAATGAAATGACACGTAAACTTCCCACCAACTTCCCACGGAGGCGTTACACCCACAAACACTCTCTCGACTATATGGAATGGAGCACAATCAAAAAGAGCCAAGCAGACAGGAAGAAGATAAGCAGCAGAAATAAACAGTGACAGAAAAACAGACCTCAGACATTTCAGGTAACAGAAATGTCAGGCACACACCAAAAAGACAAGTGTCTAAGATGAGCTTAAAATACCTGGAGGGACAATCACATGGGGAGGACCCCTCTGAAGGCATCCTGGCAGTCTAGGATAAGGTAAATGCCTGAACTAAAGGTTGGAAAGAAATAGACGGGAAGGAATAAGAAAAGAACAGAACATGGCCAGATGTAAGACTGGGAGAGGGCAACTGGGAGGAAGGGTTCCAACTGACTCGAGGTCCCAAGAGACAAGAGGCACAGCTTCTGTGAGACTGACCGGAGAGACAAGGGAGTGTAAAAGGTGTAAAAACACCCACCCCAGCTGTCTGTCTCGGTTACATTTCTTACTGCTGGGACAAAATACCCGATAGCCAGAATTAAGGAAGGAAAGGTTTATTTAGCTCAGTGTGTGGAGGTTTCAGTCCATAGGCTGGCTCCAAGGCACATGGTAGGAGGCACCAGTTCATGGCAGCGGATGACAGCAAAAGAGCAGGTACACGATGGGCAGGAGCAGAGAGGGCAAGTTCTCCCTGCCTCCCACCGAATCAGGCTGCCTGCCTCAGGGTGGGTGTCGCACACTCATAATCCCAGCCTTGGATCATTAATCAATCACCAACTAGAAGCCCACCCCATGACTTCATAAGGCTTTGGGGTGACACTAAGCACGAACCATCTGCCCCTGCCCCCCAAAGATTCACGCTCCCTTTATGAAAAAAGGCAGTTTAGTCCATCTCTAAGAGTTGCCCAAGTCCCAGCAGTTTCAGTATTGCTGAAAAGTTCAATTGTCCAGCCTCTTCCACAATCTAAGGCACTCAGCTGTGAGCACCTGTACAGATGAAAAGTTAAACACTGTTCAACATTCAATGGACAAGAAAAACATTACCACACCAAAAGGTACAACCCAAGGGGACACAAAGCACTGGGACCAAAGCAAGTCCAAAACCCAGCAGAGCAAACTTGAAGTCCTGTAGTTCCACGTGGACCATCCAAAGCGACCTGTGATAAATCCCGAGTGCCACAGGCCTCGCATGGCCACACCCCGACAGCACATCTGGGGGTTGCAGCTCCCGCCCCGCAGCGTCTCTCTTAGGGCTGCTTTGCTCCCTCCTTGCAGCTTTCCTCAGACAATCCACATTCCTGGATTCTCCAAACTTCTGGGGTCTCCACTGCTCCTCAGGCTTCCCACACACAGCTTCCACACTGCCGTGCCAGGGGCACACCGCCTGGCCTCGTGGGCCTGCGAAATCAAGGTGGAAGCCTTCATAACCTCAGAACTCTTGCATCCTGCATACCACACAGATGATGCCAATGTCTGCTGCCAGACAGAGCAGTAGCAAGGCTTTTTTCTGTCCCGGCTGTAGGGGTCAAGTGCCTAGATTGATGAACACCCTGAATCTGATTCTGATAACAAATTCTCTATAATGCCACCATTACGCAACCTTGTGTGGCCGCCAGTATTCTGGAACACGGTGCTCTGCAGTGTCTCCTCAAAGCAAAGGCTTGCATTTTTGCAGTTCTGAAGCTGCAAAGGTGGAGACTTGTTGCTTCTTGGGATGCCTCAGGCCATCTTCCCTAGTCTGCTGTTCCTTTCTTGGCCACAGAAATCTTCTCAGCTCTATCTGTGGTCCACCACTTTATCAGTTTCCTTTCTGGCCAAACTCACAAAATTTTAAATCACTCTGCTGGACTTTTTGCTCTTGATTCTCAACATAAACCTAAAACTCCCCAACAATAGCCTTACATTGCCTCTAAATTTGACTGCCCTTGAAATTTCTTTTGCCAGATTAATCACTTTAATCTGGCCACCATTAATCTCAGTCTCAGGCAAAGTCTCTGAACACAAGCACACATCATCTGGAGTCCAAAAGCCAATGCAGTCCTTCTTCCCAGAAGAAACCTCCCCAGCCTGGTCTTTACAGACAGAATTTCTAACAGCCTTCTGGTCTTTTGAGCTCTCACCAGAAGCTCACATACAGAGCCGCCAAAGGCGTTCCAGCTCTAGTCTTTCAGGGAACATCCCCGAGCCTTCCTATCTCTTCCTATAAGCCATTCCCAAAGGCCCTTGAGCCCCATGGTCAGGTATAGTCACAGCAATGGCCCCACTTCTCGGTAGCAAATTCTGCCTCGGTTACTTTTCTCTCATTGCTGGGACACCCAAACTAAAGAAAGAAAAGTATATTTAGCTCACAGTGTATAGAGGTTTCAGTACTCAGCTGGCTCCAAGGCAGAGTGGCCCGTGGCAGAGGGCAGCCATTCATGGCAGCAGAAGACAGCAAGACAGCAGGAGCAATAAGGCAGAAGCAGCAACAGAAAGCAGGCCCCTCTCCCTTCCTTACACTGCATGCAGGCTGCCTGCCCCAGGGCAGGGGGAGCACGGATACCCATAATCCCAGCAGCACTCTTCCCCTTGGCTGCGTGAGGCTTTGGGGGTCATCTAGACACTAGCCATAACACCAGCCTCAAAGACATCCTTGTCTTCATTCCCCACACCAGTGAGCATGTTTCCTCATATGACTAAGTATCTGGGGATTGGAAGAGTTCTACAGACTAACTGGGCAGATCCCAGGTGATCCAAGGGGCCTTAGAAGGGAAGAGGGAAAGGCAGAGCACTTAAGGAAGGGGTTAGAGTAATAAGGAGGGGCACTGACTAAGACCCACAGGCAGCCTCTAGAAGGTCACCTTCTGGTCACAGCCAGCAGGCAGATCCACCCCAAAAGCCTCTGGAATGGCTGCAGCCCTGCCAATACCCTAACCCTAGAATTTAACCACAGGATTATAAAACTATAGGTCAGCACTATTTTTAAGTCACTATACTTGTGGTAATGTGTTCCAGGAACAATAGGAAATGAACATGGGAGTGTGCAAGACAGTCTGAAAAATCTTTCTCTCTTGGGTAATCAGGACACAGTAAATAGGGAATTTAGTGTTGCTTTGCATTCTAACAACCACTGCCCAGATATTTGAAAATATCATTGGCTTTCGCCATTAATAAGTACCTCTAGGACTTGCTCCCTTTAAAATAGGAAGTAGAGGCTCGTATACTTGCTAAAGGGAAATCACAGGTTAAACAACTAGGTTCATAATAAAACAGAGAAAGAAAGGGTGAAGAAAATATCTAATTTATTTTTCCATGATCAAAAGCATAACCCTCAAACAAAAAAATAAAGTTAGACATAAAAAATTAACATTGTATAAAACAAAGATGTAGGGGGCGTGCCTCTTAGCTCAGTCCTTTAAGTGGCTGCTTCAACAAAGCAGTCAGGCTCAGGTTGCTGGGGTTCCACAACTCAAGTCAGCCAAACCTGCCCTGAAGGGGTTCAGAGCAAAAAAAAAACAAAAAAAAAAAAAACCAAACAAACAAACAAAGATGTAGCCAGGGATGTAGCTCAGTGGCTTAAGTGTCTGCCTGGCAAGCACAAGGTCCTGAGGTTGAGCCCTGTACCAAAAACAAAGCAGAGTGCTCGCATACTAAAATTGAAACGATACTGAGATAATTTGCATGGCCCCTGCACAAGGATGACACGCAAATTCGTGAAGCGTTCCATATTTTTCTATACATGCTGATACCTGTGAACCAAGCAACTGCACTGAAGATAGCAATGTGTAATAGCAGGGTCACGCTTGGAATGCCTGTCATTCTGGTCTTCTAAATGTGTACTTCTTGTCATGACATACCAATTAGTACCATAATGTCTCACAAGTTTGTTTTTTTTTTTAAATGGGTAATAAAGGAAAAAAGACACAAGAAAAAGAAAAAAAGATGTCACAGGACTGTCCTGCAACAATGCTGTATATGCTTAGATTTCTAAATTTGTGTAAAAATATGTAATTGTTTATTCATATTCTTTAAATATTTTTCATTTTTTAAATGTTTATCTCCATATTCTATAGGGACTTAATGTTTAATATATCAATACTTGATGGAAAATACTTGTTCCATGTTATGCCTAAGTTGTTTGATATTCAGACAGAGAGTGAAGTTAAACCTAACTGCATAAAATGTAGGGTAATAATAAGCTTCTCTTCTGGAGGATTAACAACTTAAGTTTGGAGACCAAAAATTAGAGAAATAGAAGGGCTGCAAGGACAGCCAACATTTTGGCCCCAGCCTTTCAAGGTCAGTGAAGACTCAGAACATAAGAGAACCTATACTGTAACATCATGTAACTCAGTTGTGTCCCAAATTTTCTGATTAAGGAGATTATGGGGCCAGAGAGCAATGCAATCGATGACATAGAGTATGCCTAAGGAGAGTCACCTGGAGAGAAAACATTCTCTCAGGCTTTCACAGAGAGCACATTGGTCAAACAATGGCCATGACTCATCCTCTTAGCTGACACTGACCAAGGATCTACAAAGTGCAGTACAGGGTTACAGGATAAATCCTAAGGGGACTTGACTGACCTTCTCAGATACAAAAGTTACATTTCTTGTTATACGGGTTTTGCTTATCTTGGTCTTAACCATCCAGCAGAAAAGTATAAAAACGAGGTATATAAAGTAAAGTCATATTAATATGCAGAGCTGTGAAAGGCTCAAGTCAACAACTTCTGTGGATAACCTATTACTTTTTTAAAAAAATTTTATTTATTTATTTATATTTTTGTGTATGTGTGGCCAGCTCAGCCCACCAGGGGGCGGGGCTGGCTGGCATGTGGTGCTGGTGGATTGAACTGCGGTCCCTGTGCTTTGCTTAGCTTAGCTTGTTCTAAGCAGGTGCTTTAGACCACTGAGCCATCTCACCAGCCCGGATAACGTATTACTATTGTGGACTGCTAAACTGTGTTGGATTGTTTTGCTCAATTCACACACATACAGTATTTAGATGCCAATGGAATACCCATTTCTGACAGGACTAAACAAAAAAAGGGATACAAAGGAAGGACCATTTTGTATTTGTATAAGCAGAATAGTTAGGATAATTTTTTTTTTTTTTTTTTGGCAGAACCGGGGATTGAACTCAGGCCCTTGCGCTTGCCAGGCAAGTGCTTATTCTACTGAGCCATCTCCCCGGCCCAATAGTTAGGATAGATATACAGCTACTTTCACTTAATTCAATGAGAAGAAAGATTTGTACTAATAGTGTTTGGACAGGATATTCTCTCTATATCATGTAC